TGATGCCGGCCCGCATTTAATTAAGTTAGTGGGTCCAGACTACCGTGGACTTTGTTCATCCATACTGAAGTTTATCTACACTGTAGAGTCGCCTAATAAAAGTGATTCATAAAAGTGATTCCCTTATAATGATTAACTTGTAACGTATGCACGAAAATAACTTTTTTGACTTCTTTTTAGTTTATAAATATTGCTATTACTTTAGCATATATATATATTACTATTTATTCTACTACTGACTTTTTGATTCCGTTTTGAAATATAAATTCTAATATATTATGAAATAAATTGGCATGGAAGTTTGTTGCCCTTTATTCTTTCATCATAATTTATTTACCTGTCTATTGTTTTTTATGTTTAGTTTTCCGGTTGCCTTTTGCTTCTCCGTACGCGATGGCTGCTGCTGCTGCCGCAGCGATGGCGCATCACCATCATCATCAGCAACAACGTCATCAGCAGCAACCACTGCCGAACCAAGTCCTTTCAGTCTCGCCTCTTCATGCATCTGGGCAAAGTCACGCCTCTCTTTCTAGCCGGCTACCTGGTCAACTCGGTTTTGCCTACTACAATACCGCATCTCCGGCATCCTCTGCAGCAGCCGCCGCAGCCGCTGCCTCCTATTACTATGCACAGACGTGCCATTATCATCCGCCGCCAAGTAGCCTCGTTTCACCTCTACCCCCAACTCATCAGACTCACTTGGATGGTCCCATGAGACAAACCTTTCTGTCGCCTGCTGGAAATGTTTCCCCTTACTCTTCTTCTACTCCTGGGTACTTCCTGGCAGGTCGTGACAGCTCCCAAGCCCCTCATTTTACTCATCTTCCGGGTCCAATGTTGACACTACTGTCTTCTTCAACCCCTCATCCACTTCACCTTCTTCCACCTACTTCTCCTCCTCCTCCTCCACCTCCTTCTCTTCTTCCACCCCCTCCTTCGGGGCCGTTTTTGTCTCAGGCCTCAGCCACTTCCACCTATTACCCAATCTCGGGACTCACTTCTCCCTCAGGAAAACTGAAGACTTCTTCTTATCTCCAAGCCGAATTTCCACTGCTTGAGCCTCAGCTGCCTGCATCTACGCAAGACTGTACCTCTGCACCCACTGGCTATTCTGACTTACAGACCGACCGGAAGGCTTCACCCACAGAGGATAGCGGATCGAGTCTACATCAAGCATCTCTCTCTTCTTCCTCTTCTTCAACCACCACTTCTCCTCAACTAGCAGTAGGAAGCCATCGCTCTGACATGAATCCAGCACTCGCGTGTCGACAGATGCTTCCTGGAGATGATGAGGCCCAGGGCCATGGAGACGTCGAAACAAGTTTGGATGAGAGGTTGCCAACGCCTTTGAGTCCTGATTGTGTCCTTTCCTCAAATGGTTCTGAGACCATTCTCGCGAAGTCTGCGGCCATACAAAGTCAAGTAAGCATTATATTTCTCTGGTTATTTTATAAGCCAGGTTCTATACTTTTCCATTATCAAGGGAATTTAGCGTACTTTTCGGCTGACACTATCTTTTTTCACAGTTCATGCAATGCTAAACTTATTAAGAGGCTTTGGTTCTTCTCAGCCCTGCCTTCCCTAAGTATTTTGTTTCCCCCCTCTTTAATTCTTATATACCGTTTTTGCTGTACCCTCTTTGGCCTCCTTTTCTACTTCAAGGATCCTATTTGCAGTGGAGCTCGGATCTTTGATATTTTGGCGGAACTTCTAGAGCTAGCACAAACCACCCAAGTGCCTTTCCTATTATGTATACCCAACGTCCGTGCTTTTGTGTCGATTTATTTCTACCTGGGCTATTCAGGCCACTAGAAAAATGACATTCTTATAATCCGCCATTCTTTTCCAACATCGGCCTCTCAGATCCTTTGACCTCATCACTTCGACAATAGTGTACTGTTTTAGCTTGCAAAATGGGCCTGTAGGCTATCACATCCGTGTAATTGCTGATAAACTCTAATCTCGTTTATCACGTTTCTTTTGTAATCTATGGTCTGCCAAAGTCTGTCCCTATCTTTCTGTGGAGTATAATAGCCAGACACGAACTCCTTTATATAAAAAGTGTATAGTCCCGAAAACCTACTTATAAAAGAGAAATAACGAACTCCTTTGTTTGTCTTTTCCATTTTGATTTTTGATCGACCTTCAACCTGTTATGAGTGGCGCCCTTTTCGTCTTCACCCACTTTAAAGCTCCTTTTAATTTTTTGAACTTATGAACGGTGGCGTCAAGTCGGACTATACAGAAGCGCCTTCAGCCTATCTTTTCTTTTTTATGTTTCATAACTCTCAGTCATGAGCTTGAACTCACAAACACATATACACACACGGATTTGCACATATAAAGGCGCACATTGCCTCGTTTCTATATGGACCGACAATCATTTTATCTATTATGAAATAGCGCAGATGGTATTCACTTACTTAGAGTGATGTTGGATAAAACCACCTCTATTTACTCATTATGCTTTTATATATTTAATATACCATAACTAAGAACAGTTTCCACCCTAGGTGATGAAGGAGTGATAGTTCAATTTTTCCCACAACTCTCTTCTACTGTCACTCATTCATCTTTGCCCAAGAGGTTCACTCACTCTGCTAGGCCTCTATCTGCAGCAGTTATGGCACTGTCATCCGCAAGAGATTTAGACACTAGAAACTGTCGCGTCTTAACGTTATATATTCCTGTATTGTACAATTTTCTTGCGAACTACTAATTGGTTTATGAATGTCGGTTTGGTCCTTCGTTTCTCTGCACTTTATTATCTATCCTGTGGTCGCCTTACTATTTTCTCTCATTTGCCGCTCGTGAACTATGCATATCCGGCTAGCACATGCCTTGTATGTCTATTTTTGCACCTTTTTCATATGTGAGTTGTTGGATACGTATCGATCTTTCTACATGCATAGTTATTCATTATACCCCATGTATTCGTCTTGGTTGAAAGAACTCTTGAAAAACCCACTTTTCGTTAGCCAGCCGATGGGAAGTTTGATTAAAAGGGGTCGTGCGAACTGCTAGACGAGCATGTTGGATTCGTCGATACCGGTGTCACAGGAGTGCAGATAAAGTCGTTTAGTTTGTCGAGATGCACGGCGGCACTTTTTGAAAATCTTGATTTAGGGTTGTATATCCTCGATTTTTCGTGCCTTTTTTCTCCTCTCAGGTCTGGTGGAGAAGAGAAATAGCCAGCCATGTGTCGCTCGGGGCAGTGGTAGACTTTGAACAAGTACAAATTCATAATTATCTTAAGTAAGCCTCAACAATAGGCAGTACTATTAGCATTAAGCTCTCGCTTACTATCGAGATTACCTCTGTCATCGGATCATCTTCTAAGCACATACATTTTTTGTGTTCGGGCCATGGGATGCAAAAACTTTCGTAACGTGATTCTGTCTCCATGCCCGAGGCACTTCCTCGGATTCCTTGTACGCCATTTTTTCATCTGTGATTACTTTCATTTTGTGGAAAAGTGCCTAACTAAGAGATTCACAGGATGACCTCTTCAGAAGATTATGGCAGATTTCTGTTTCTTTGCGGTCCTTTGATGTTACTATAATGTTCAAGCTGGCGCATTACACGAAACATCCTTTAATTCAGATGGATCCGTAATTGTAGGAGTGAGTATGTTTTCAAGTTCTCTGTATTTCGTAGATAATAAAGCAGTCACCATGGTCTGCCTAAAGTGGTTTATGGACTAATAGTTAAAATTTCACACATTGTTATGGGTATGCCTCATACCTTCCTTTTATATCACTTGACCTCACTTCTCAAAAGGTTTTACTATCCCGCCAGTTTTAAAGTAACCTGGGTCTCATCAGCATTCCAAGAAACATTCTAAACCGCGTTGTGCACATCGTGATGACACTTGCCACACAGCCACGGTCGCTAGTGGGTCACAGGGTAGGTGTGATTTCAAGGCTAGCTCGACTTCCCTCAAATCACATTGTTGGTGGGATCAGACAAACATGTATTTTCCACCACAATAGACGACGTTATTTATTTTCTAAGTAGTTCTGTTTCGAAATAATCTGTAATCCTAAGTCAAGCTTATCAAATGAATTCAGAGCAGCAATATTCAGCGGTAATCTTCTACCTACAAGTTTAAAACACTTTCGCCTAAAATGAATGTTGTCACTTCAATGCTATCTTTGGAGGTAGTCCGAAACCACGTTACACTTTCTATATTTTATCTTATACTGCCGAGGCTAACTTCAAAAGGCAAGCTAGTGGTGCGAGTCCCTTTTCTTTTTAAATGAGGAAGGCTTTGAAACAAAACTAATTGGCTCTTTAGCTGAGTCTGTTGATGGTATTTATTACTAGTATTCCACATATATTTAATTGGCCTCACTATTGCTCTAAGAATACTGAAATTATACTTGCCGTTCAATCTGGTTGAAAGATAAGTATATTTAATTTCATACTAATCTATAGGATAAGGCGTTCTTATATGCTTATTGCCAGAATACGAAGCTTGCTTCAAATGTTCTCTTACTTTCCATAGTTTGATTTTGATGAAGCACTGCAGGCAAATGAATACCCTTCAAATATACCACCACATTTCAGCTTGGACCACTTTACGCGATAAATCAGACCATACTTTTTATGCATAGTTCTATTATATGGGTCCTAATAAGCGGATTACTCTTCTACTAGCACATCTTGAATCAAGCTGCCGAGGTTTTTCTCCTCCATTACTAAGTGGGAGTCCTCTGATGGCTGGCAACCTTTACAGAGTTGATAGTTAGATATATTTTTGCTATGATATATGTAATAGGTTCCGTGTCGTTGCATGATGGCTGAGTTGTAATGCTGTATTTGTTTTGTCTGATATAAGTGGGGCTTATGTATATACAAATACTACATTCCTTTCGGATTATGCATAATTTACTTTGCTTGACATTCTCAAGTTTCTCGTCAAGATATACTCGTTACTTCCCTTGCTTCACCATCTCTCACCTGTCTTACTTGCACCACCCAATTCTTGTTGACTACCAATTTTATATCTCCGTAATCCTAAATAGCTCTCCGTATTTAACTTAGTACGTCTCACCAAACTCGAGTAGTCTATATCACACGTGGGATAACCGAAAATAAGCCGATGAGCTCAAATATGACCATTTACTTTATTTTACCTCCTTTATAATTAAGACTCCGTCCAAAAAATTAACAAAATCAAATTTATTCGCTGCTATGGGGTACTAGAGCTTTTTCAATTCATTATATATGCTAACTAGGATGTTAGTCTCTGCTATTTAAATTTAATTAGTTAGTGCTTTCAGCCAAATATATTTA